TCTCTCTCTCTCTCTCTCTCTCTCTCTCTCTCTCTCTCTCTCTCTCTGAAGGACATCTCTTAATCACAGTATGCCAGATGAGGATTTCAGAGCTGGCTTGACTCTCTTGGGGGATGGGGGATGTTCAGGAGCCTTGTTGCCTGATGTTAGGAAGACACCTTAGTCACTGTTCACTGATCTGTAGGTGGGACAATAACAAGGGTGTTGGCATACTTTTAAAAAACTTTTTTTTCCATTTATTTTACCTTTTTCTCCCCACTCCACCCCAGTCCCTTCCAACACCCCAACACCAAGTAGGAGAAAGAAAGAAAGGGTTAGTGGGAGAGGGGTTGCAATTCTCTTAGCTATTTCCTGCTGGTTAGGGTTGTCAGCTTCCTTGAAGCCAGTCCAATCCTCATTTCAGGAAGTCCCCATCTTCTTGTCTCACAACAGCAACCAGGCGCAGCAACAGCGAAGCAGGAGCAGCCTTGTTCCTTCTGCAAGCTCCATGCTCTCTGGGCTCTGGCATTTAGTCTCTTTCCAGAGCCCTCAGGTTTAAACTACCTGCAGCTGGCAAAGAGCTCCTCTCCGAGCTGGCATGAGGCAAATAGTCTGCTGCTGTGGACTGTCTGACTCAGTCCCACATCCCACACCCGGAACCAAAACAAAAACATACTTATATTCGCAACACAATGGTGCTTCCCAATCGGGGCAGTTTTGAGGTCACTCCTGTAGACAGTTTGGCCAGCACATTTTTTAAACTATAGGGCCATCCATTAATGCTTGTCTTTTGTCACCATTATCATGACTGGATTTTAGCTGTGATTTTAGTGTTTGTGACATGACGGTGAAGTTGGGGTGTGGACAGGAAGACATAGGGGCCACTGAGCTTCCTGACTCTGCCCACTCAATACCATCAAGCATCACTTTGATGTTGGCTAGTGGTGTGGTATTGGAACTATAGACATTAAGAAACCACTGCCCAGCGGGATGTTCAGGCCTCTGTTAATATGGTCACTATGGTCAAACCTGGTAGCTAGGATCAGCGGTCCTCTCTTTCAGAGCAGCCTCTTAGGCAAGTATTCAGGAAGCATTTCTACTCCAAAACAAACCAACTTAGAGAACTCTGCTGATAGCCAGATTCAGCAGCAAAGTACTGAAGGACAAAAGGGTTCACTTCCGCTTACAGCTTATCACCGAGGAAAGAACCTAGAGACAGAAGTGGAGCAGAGGCCACGCAGGAGCGCTGAGTGCTGGCTTGCTCTCACGGCTTGCTCACTCTGCTTTTTTTTATAAAACTCAGGACCACCTGCCAAGCAAGGCCTTCCACATCAATCATTCGTCAGGAAAATACCCCACAGATTTGAAGGCCAATCTGATGGAAGCTGTTCCTCAACTGAGGCTGCCTTTCCCAGACGACTCCAACTCATGTCAAGCTGACAGAAACCCCAACCAGCACAAATGGCTTCCCTTTTTATAGTCCAGGGACTGTAACTCTTTACACCCTTAATTTAGAACTAGTTCTCAGTGTATAATTAGCCCACACTTCACATTGTACTGCGGCAACATCTTCCAATCCGTTCTATCTTTGTGAGCACCTCTTGCAGAGGGCCAGGGCGGGGAACTCAAGCTCTGGGCCACAGTCCAGCACTGGGTGATGCCCTTGACCAGCAAGCTTGGGGCGATCTAGAAGCCAAATGGTGTAATCAGGACAGCCCAGAGGAATGGGAGCATGTCCGAGCCTGTTATCATAGCAACATGGCTAGGGCAGCCCAACCTGGGAGTGACTACAGGACTAAGGGTCTGCAAAGGAAGACAACGGAAAGCATAGAGAGTTATTCTCGTGTCATTTTTGAGTCCAGAGCTAAGTCTAGTAATTGGGATAAAGGCAGAGCTGGTGCTGCGTGTGGGGAAGAATCCAGGAGGCAGCTGTCTGGGGAATCAAACAGGCTAGAAGAATCTGGAACGCTGGTCTGTGGAGGGGCAGGTGCCAGAACCCCCAGAGAGCCGTGGCTATCCCGGGACAGCCTCACCTTCAGCACAGCTGGTGGGTCTGACCCTGTTTGATGACTGAGTACTGGTTCCCAGGCTGCTTCTGAGGCAGATTAAAATGTAATCTCCTTCTGGGGTTGAAATGGGGGAAGAAAGAAGCCTGATCCCTCTTCCACCTCAGGGAAGGAAACACTTGCCTTACGATGAACCGGGGGCACAGTGAAACACATGCAAAGCGACCTCACAGCGCGTCTGATGGTGCTAGTTGTGAAGGTGAATTTAAAAAAAGGAGGGGGGGGGGGGACTTTATTCTTCAAAAACTAACTGCAGGATAGGCATGGCAGCAAGGGTAAAAAATATTTTGAAGGTGGGCCTTCGTGCCTCAGGCTTGTCAATTCTAGTACTTGAGAGGCTGAGACAGGATAGAGTTTGAGTCCCTCCTACTTCAAGTGAGAACCTATGTGAAAACAGCACCGTTGCCACCAACAAATAAATTTCCAGCCTCTGACAGCACTCACCTAGAACAGAAGGCAGGCAGCGGGACACACTGTGATTTCATGGAATCTCCGGGGGGGAGTTGTTTGAAGTATCCCATCTCACAGACAAGAAAATCTGAGCAGCTGAAGTCTGCATTTGCGGGATGCAATGCGAGCTCATGCCAAAGCCACAGTCTTACTGAGGTCCTCTGACGTGTCTTCATGTTTCTTCTCCCGCTACATGGCTGCCCTGTAGGCCTCTGGTCCTTTGACCTCAGTGTGACTCAGCTTCTCCAGGAGAACATTCCGGAAGCAGAGCGAGGGGCTGTGAATGGTGTGCAGTGCTCTCTGAACTACCTCATGGACCTCATCCACTTTATTCTGGTCATGCTGGCCCCGAGGCCTCAGCAGTTTGGCATGCTGGTGTTCCTCTCCATGCTCTTTGTGGGCACGGGCCACGTGCTCTATTTCTTCTATTCGAGAAGGAGTAAGAAGGCAACTGGGAAAGGTGCCGAGATACCCCCCACCTGAGAGGTAGGCAGCCCCGCTCAGCGTTCTGGGCAGCCGTAGGCCCATCACCCGCCCAGGATTTCCAGCCGCTTTGTGTGTGTCTTGTGCCTTGCTACAGCTGACAGCCAATATGTCACTTTCCACCAATGACATCACCTGCTTCTGGGTCTCTTCCTGGTACTATCCTGAGGGTCAGGGGGGACAACTTGAAGATGACCTGTTGACTGAAGTCAGAAAGATCTTCCTCTCAGCTCCTTCAAGGGACTGGTTTTAATTTTGCCGGTGTCAAGGCTGGTAGAGCCCGTGCCTGGCATCCATGGAACCTTGCACCACTTAGAAAGTTGGGTACGGCTGAGTGTGGTGACCCACACCTTTTGATCCCAGCACTGGCTAGGCAGAGACAGATGGGTCTCTGAATTCAAGGCCAGCCTGGCCTACATAGTGAGTTCTAGGACAGACAGGGCTGGAGAGCCTGTCTCAAGAGGAAAAAAAAAAAGGGGGGGTGTAGTGGCACATACCTGTAATCCCAGTACAGAAGTAGAGGCAGAAGGGTCAGCAATTCAGGGCCGTCCTCAGAAACAGGCTACCTGAGATCCTACCTCAGCAGGGGGAAAGAAACTCGGCGTTTTCATGTTTTCTTATTTTCTGGGAGCTAAAATCAATCAAAACATTCTGGCCCATGCTCTAGCCAGACATGTTGGTCTTGGTTATTTGAGTATGAGTCTGTTGTTCCTCTTTGGGTAAGTGGCATTCTCGGGTTAAGTGTCCCTCGTGAAGGGAAGCTATTCACTGGAAATTAAAACAGTCTTTGCCTGGCTTACAAACCTTGTGCAAGGCCAGAAATTTTGCAGTCTGGTGGCCAAGGAGGGCAAGTATCATCTTAGCGATCAAGCTAAGAACAGATTCTGAATAAGAATGTTGTTTGCAGTGAACACACGGGAAACTTCTAGTCACCACTTAGTCAACACAAACGTTAACATTAGAGGAAGCTAGAAGAAAGCCTATATATCTTTAGGCTTAAAATCATGATTAACTAGTTTTTTAAAAAATAATATAAGGTCATCTTATATAGTGAAATCAATAAGGCTAGCAATAAAACCCCCTTAGGGTTCATACTTTAGGGAACCTGTCCATGGGCCAGGAATAGCCTGTAACACTTGTACCTAGGCAGGTGGGTGGGTGCTAGGTGCCAGCTCCGGCCCATTGACTGGGTTCTGTCTGTTGAGAGCAGATAAGGAGTCAGCATTGGAGGAGTGAGTCAAGCATGGTGGTCAGGGGAATCTCAAAGCTCTGACTGACTAGCAATCAGATTATACGGGTTTTAGAGAACAAAGACAGAGTAATAATTATCCAAGTACAGATTATATCATTATATTATATTATATTATGTCATATCATATCATTTATGTCTCCGGAGTTACAAGTTCAGTCACAATTAGAAAGTACAAATAGAAGAGATTTTATTTTTATTATTAGCCCTATAACTCCAATTCAAGGAATCTAAAGAATGTCTCCACCGAAGCAAACACACTTATCATATGGCAGTCTGCCATATAATAATTTGCAGTTTTCGAGCACTCCAGACAAACAGAAAATATCTGACCTGTTCTTTTTATGAATAGCAAGTATTAATACCTAACTTCTTTTATATAATTTCGTCTTCTATTCTATAAAGTAGAAAAGGGTTATTCTACTCAATCTATCTTATTTACTGAGTTCTCTTCCTCCACGGGTGTACTCTGTGTGACTCCCTATCTTTAATCTGCATTTTTCAGAGAGCTCTAAGTGTATTGTAAAAAGAGGTTTAGAATCTGTTACTAATTCTCCTGGCCAGTCAGTTTGTCAGTTATCTCTGTCTACCCTGCACCGATTTATGCTGTTTGAGTTTGCATAGGGGCACATACCCCAAGATGATTCCTGTAGTCCTGGCCTTATTTAGAAATTCCTAGGTTTTGCTTATCTGAGTTTATCACAATCTCCAGGACATAAGGCAGACTTCTAAATAGTGGCCAGATAAAGTTATTTCCCTAAAAGCACAAGTAAGTTTAGGACTTTCCTAAAATAAATACTCAGACATAATTTTCCTGGGAAGAGTCATAAAATTAATCATAATGCAGAAAGTCCCCAAAAATGCAACATTCAGAGACCAAAACCTAAAGGTGAGAGACAGAATGACAGCGATCCAGCGATCACAGCGTTCAGTTCAGCTTCGCTGGAACTGTATCAAACAGCTGTGCTGACGTCATGACTTCTGCTGTTTCCAGTGCTGTGCCAGGTATAGGAAGTGACATTTTCTAAGACAGAATGTTTTAACTTCTGTACTACTGACAGTTTGGATCAGACATCCTCTGTCGCAGGGACTGCCCTGGAGGAGATCTTGTAGCACCTGTTGTTTCTACCCACCAGATGCTGGTAGCCACACGCAGTTATGATAATCAAGTGTCTCCAAATGTTACCAAGTATTTCCCCAGTTAAGAACCCCCGTTGAGAGGGCCAGGGGTGGTGGTCTATACCTTCAATCACAGCACTTGGGAGGCAGAGGTAGGCGGATCTCTGTGAGTTCAAAGCTAGCCTAGTCTACAAAGCAACTCCAGGATAGCTAAGACTCTGTTACACAGAGAAACCCTGTCTGGAAAATTTAAAAAAATAAATAAATAAATAAAATAAAATAAACCTGTTTAGGGGCTGGAGAGATGGTTTGTCAGTTAAGAGCACTGACTGGTCTTCCAGAAACCCAGGTTCAAATCCCATTGTGGTTCACAACTGTCTATTACTCCAAGATCTGACAGACATACAGAAATACATTCAGGCAAAACACCAATGTACATAAAATATAAACAAATAAATAGATAAATAGCACAAAAAAAGAAAAAGAAAGAAAAGCCTGTTTAATAAGAGAAATGTGAAAACCATGGGAAGAATTCCCTCACTGTTAACAGAACAACAGACTAGGGATTAACTCCATGAGGAATCTCTTCTTTAGTAAGCCTGAGGCTTTGGGGTTTAATCCCCACCGTTTTGCAGAACAAAATCTCATTAGTAGCAAGAAAACTACAAAAGGGAATCTTCACTGGACTGACTGCTTTTTTGGCATAGCTCCATAAAAATAAAAGAAAGAAAAATTTGTTAAATATTTTGCTTAAAATAAGGCCCTTCCCCTTTTATTTAAATAAAATACTTTCTATACTTTCTTATACTTATACTTTCTATAAGTTCTGGTGATATTTATGTGCCACCTCCCCCTATTTTCTCTCCTTTCATAAAATGCCTGAAAGACTACCAAGTACTTTACTACACACACACACACACACACACACACACACACACACACGACTAAGTGAAGACACCAGAATGAATCATCATCTGGTTTTGACTAGGAAGTTTGTACTTTCATGCAATGTCATGCATTAAATCTGTTGGCTCTTGATTTCCCTAATGAGCACACAAATATTTAGGCTGAGTGGGTGCAGAAGGAAACAATGTTTAACAAATACAAATTGAAGTCTTTTATTTAACATCTCTAGAACTACAAGCTGCACGAGATGATTTGCACCAAGCGGTCCTGGCACCCTCGCCTCTCAGATTCTACCACTGGAAATGATAGCGGCTTCCCTGCACATCCTGCGCCCTCTGCTAATTCACTCTTCCTTGAGGCTCCGCACGGTAAAACAGCATCACTGTCCTAGTCCACCGTGGGCCATTATTTCTTTATCTCCGTGGCTACTGATTTTGTTTTGTGTCTTAGACCAGTGTTGTCTAATAGAAATAGAATACAAATCATATTTGCCTAATTTCAAACTGTATTTCATTTGACCCAATGACAATCACTGGAAAATTAAAATGACTTTCCACATTCTTCACGTCTGATTTCTAAAAAAAAAAAAAAAAAAAAAAAACAGCACACACCAAATTGAAATTCGTGCCAGCCACATTTCACGTGTGAATAGCCTGTTAGCCACCACGTCAGAACAGTTTCAAACTCTGTCTTCCCGAGTGCCCACCGTGGGAGGTCAAGCCCTATAGTGGGTGCCACTCTGCCCTGGATACAGGCCAGGGCACTGGTTCAATTGTAAGGGGTTATGCTTCATTCTACCAACTGCAACATCCTGCTATTCCTAGAAGCGAATCAAGGTGACACACACGAAACATTTTTTATTGAGTTTGATCTCTTAGTCTCTGACACAGACTGGAGGCCTTCTGAAGGTGAGGATGTCGGTGGTGGAGTTGCTTGCAGTCACCGTGAGCTCCATCAAGGGCCCATTTAGTCTTGTTTGTATGGGCTTTGATAAACTATGATTGTATCACAGAGTATTGGGATCAGAAGGCTTCAAATTATAAATCTGAATTATAAATTATTAATACAGGATAAATCCCGAGAGGGCAATTTTTCTGAATAAAACAAAAACAACAAAAAACTGTTAAGCACATCCCCAGCTGTTCCTGTTTAGTCCAATCATGGCTTTCCTTTTGTTAGCCCGGCTTCAGCCTGACATGCTGCTGAGTGGACCCGGGCTTTCTGCACGCATTTCATTAACTGCCTGCGTGCCCTGGAGCCGAATGTACCCATCTCCACTTTCTCTAGAGCCTCCCTCAGTTATCCAGGCCTTGAGATTACAGGGAAAAGCATCTTCACTCTTGGAAAGCCTTGAGTGCAGGCGGCTATGCCCCTCTATTTGCTGCTAGAGAGCCCAATAGATCCCAGCTGACAACACGAAATCAAATTAGGACTTCTCTCCTTGTCTTCTTGCGGGGCTTCTGTTTCCTCTTCTGACTACCGTACTGTTTGATATTTGTTTCTAATCTATCCCAGGTCAGTGTGGAAATGTGACGGAGGCAGTGCAATGTGATGTGAATCATTTTCTCACAGCTGAATCTTTCTGATGTCTCACAGCTGAGTGTAACTGTCCCTTTTTAATGATGGAGCAGATGCTGCCTGATCTTACACGGGCAGATGGGTGTGTGTCTGTGTCCCATCTAGATGACAGTTTTTCTTCACCACAGGACACAGGAGGCTAGCAAATACTTTTAAGAACCATCTTATACACAGTGCTCAGGATACTGTGGAGTTCCTTAGACAAAAACAGCATGCTGTCTTCTCAGTAAGCTTTTTAAGTTGTTTTTTTTTTTTTTAAGATTTTTTATATGTACCAGCATTTTGCCTTCATGCATGTGTGCCTGGCGCCAGTGGGGCTCAGAAAAAAAAAGGCATCCAATCTCCTGGAACATATAAGTTGGTATAATAAGACTATGGAACAAGACTACTCCACAGACAAAGTTTCTTGGAAACTGCAGGTCCGTAGGTCCCATCCCCACCCCCACCCCCACCCCATCGGTCATTGAGCACCAGTGGTCACAGGATGCAGAGAAGCTGGGGAGCTGCGGTTGGGGCAACGGTGAGTATGGCCACCGGGGAGACCGTTTCACAGGACTTGAGAGGGCAGCTCCTTCACTGACGTAGTGGTAGCTTACATAGCTCCAATCAGGAGGGGAGAGAAACAAGCGACAAGGGAGAATGTAAACGGAACGTTCATTCACCTGTTTCATTGTATTCTTGGAGACTTAGTGCCTCCATCCGCTGACTTAGGCCTAGTCCTGGAAGCTTCTCACCTCCATACTATCTAACCTATGCCTAGAATGTTTTCGGCCTCTGAGACTACTTAACAAGCTCACCCTTAGCCAGGCAGCAGCGGCTCATGCCTGTAATCTCAGCACTCAGGGAGGCAGAGGCAGGTAGATCTCAGTGAGTTCAAGACAGCCAAGGCTACACAGAGAAATCTTGACTCTAAAAAAATTAAACAAAAATTATGAAATGAAATAAGCTCACCCTCGCTTGTTCTTGTTCTTTCTGAACTCATAGGTGGCTGGTTCAATTGAGCTGTTCTGACTCAAACCTCCTCTCCAGCTGCTTGCTTTTCTTTTGGCCTCTGAATTACTCTGCTTGGCCTCAAACTAACTCAAGCAATCTGCTCTAATCTTCTGGATTCTTCTCATTCTCTGGCTCATTCCATCTTCAACTGCATCTTCTCTCTGCAACCTGTCTCCTATTACTGTCCCAGTAAAACTGCCTCATATCTCTCTCTCTGTGTGTTGCTCCTTAAGTAGTTTCCCTTTCTTCCCTCTTCTTCTGAGAGTTGGGATATCCTATTCTGTCAACTCTTTCTCTGATTTGTCACCCTTTCTGCCACGCAAGTAAACATCACTTTGAAGCATGGGTGTTTCCTTCTACAAACTAACTTTACCTTCATTGCTTGAGATTAAAGATGCATGCTACCACACCTGGACCTAAGCTTTTCTTTACTTGAAACTTGTTCTATACCAGACTGAGATCTGCTTGCCACTGTCTCCTGGATTAAAGGCTTGTTTGTATTCCAGCCAAATCACACAGAAAGTTTTTGGATGTGATCTCTTCCCAGAGCAGCCATGTCCTGAATTTAAATTCCTCTACAGGAAGAAGTGTTGCTGTTGGGGCAGGGGTCTTCCAAGCTTAACAGCTAAATTAGCAGACTGGTGGTCACATGATTTCTGAGAAGCCAGATAAAGCCATGGCTTTATCATGGTATGGCCTTTGTCTCTATGGAGTTGAGTAGGCCTCAGCCTGATTTGGAGAGGGAGCAGCTGCATTCCTGCCATGCTCTGAGAGATGTCCAGGGTATGGACAATGCTCTACTGCCACGGACCGGCCCAGTCATCCGAGGGAGAACAAGGCTTTGGACAGGAAGACACGGTTTTGGCGAAGAATTGACAGACAGAGACACCTTGATGGTTTTGACTCTGCTGCAACTGTACTGAAATCAAGCTAGTATTTTTATACAAAAGGCACCTTAAAATTGGCCTACTTCCCCGAACATTCAGACTTTTTACCAAGAATACAAAGTTTACATTTTAACTCAAAATGCAGTCAAACATAAAGCAGTGCCCACAAGAAACCTTGGCCTAAAAACTTTTTGATCAGAGCAAACAAAGAAAAAGAAACCTCAAATGCAGTTTCATTATTGCTAACCAGTGAAGAGGAAAGTCAGGAGCTAAGTCAGATGCCTGCCAAAGTCTTTCCCTGTATCGGAATCTAACTACACCTTTGTTAATCATCCTCCCATATGTCCTGTTTAAGATTTATGATCTTCCCCAGGAACAAGGCACTGAAGGGAGGGGAAACTCCCGCCAGCTGCCCCTCTCATGCTATTATTTCTTAAGAAGGAGCCTATTGTTATTTCACTATTCTTAATGCCTATTAATATTAAATCTAATTCATTACCTTTCTTAAACTTATTATTTTTATTAAAGCCTTTAACAATCTACTAATGATAAATTTCTTTATAAAGTTAGTTGTGCTGTTTCAGGTGTCACAGAGAAAGATCAAAGAATTCATTATTCCAGCCCCAGAGCCACAACTGAAGAAGCGTAGAAATCTCAGAACACGTCTCTTTTCCAAGTGGGATGAGATTGTCAGGGACCTTCCAGGGGGCTTATTTCCGGAGAAATCATATCCCCTGCCCTGTAGCTAATGCTACTATGACGACCTCATCTGGCTTGGAAATCCATATCTCTCCCTTTGTTTTATTATAATGGGGCTGTGGCATCCTATGTGCCAGCACATTCTGCAAAAACAGCTTGGTATAGTACCAGAACTTGGTTGGTGGTGACTTTGGCTATATTAGTAATTTATTTTTTGAGAAACTGTATAAGGCATGAGACAAGAAGAAAGAGGACTTTGATGGCTGCTATGGAGCCCACACAGGACAAGAGCCAGGCAATAAGGGGTCGGAGTACTGGAGCACTGGTCTTCAGACCTCGGAGAGTTACCTCCCATTTGGTGTACTGCTGCAAGGGTGGAAATTAAGTGAGCCACATGAATTACAAGTTTTTATGACTCGGTGTGATTGACTGGATGGAATATGGAGGAACCGGGATTGTAATCCTTTAAGGTTAACATGGGTGACTGAGTGAAAATTCTTTGCTCATTCAAGGGTGACTATAAAAAAATCCCATTGAGGGAACTTGGTCAGCCAAGGAGTTTCCCAGGTAGGGAGTATGAGATCGAACAAGGTGGACTAAGAGAGGAGCAAGCACCCCTTGAATTAAAGTGGAAACTCTGATGAGCATGGTGGGGGGGATTTCATCTAACCAGAGAAAGGATCTGGTGAGTCAGATAACAGTGTATGACAGTATACACGATGTTAGTAAATAAGTTGAAAGGGCATCTTCCTCCTTCAGGGCCATGTAGACAGCACAGTTGTCTCAACTGGGAAGAGTGGCCAAATGGCTAGTTAGGGGTTAATCTCTGGCATGAAAAAGTTTGGGTGCAGCCCCCATGCTCCCCCACCAGAGAAGACAGAAGGGGCCTCAGAAATGGGTTCTCATGAAAAGAGGTGGGGGAGGGGGCCCATTTCTCATTGAGATAATGGTTATCGATTTGCCCCGAGAACCCCATTAGACTGATGACAAACTAGGGGTAATTTTTAAGTAACCGTCAGACATCCAAAAGAGAGAAGGCTGTCTGGTTCTTGGCCCAGGGTTTGTAAGGCCCTGTCCCTTCCCAGCTTTATCATAGAGGCCAGAGCACCAGTTCTCTGTTAGGTGTCTGGGAGCACCACCAATAGGAGTGTGGAGTCATTTCAAAACTCCTTGAGGCTGATGTGGGGTCCCTATGAGGGGAGGAACGGGTTAAACATGAGGAGCTAGACAGGTTTGTCTGGTGTGTGTTGGGCCAGGGACACATCCTGGAGTGACCCATTAATCTTGCAAAGGACAAAGGGTTCCTTTGGCCTTGGAGGTGGGAAGAGGTACATACACCTCATGCCTGCTTCTCCCTCAGGGTAGCCAGGCCTGTTGCGCACTGAGCGAGGCTGGAGAAAAGGTGCCCCATGCGTGGGTGGGTGCAGTGCAGGATCTTGGCTAGCACTGAGTGGACGGGCAGAGAACACAGCTGGGAACAGCTTCAGGGAACTGGTTCAGTTTATTGGGGGTGAGGAAGGGATCTTCATGACCCTGGGGAGGTCGCCAGGGTCTCTGGGGCAAGACTTGTGTGGCCATTGGCCAGGGTAGGGATGTTGGAAAATACTTCTACATAGTTATGGGCTGTAGAGTCTGGGACCTTATATGTTCAAACAAGGACTGAAGCCTGATGGTGGGGGAGTGAGATTTACGGCACCCGTTGAGAGTGGGGAGGTAGCCAACTCCTGCTGTCCTCAAGAAGGAGGTATCCAGAGTTGAAAGTTTCCTTGATCCTTCCTCCATAACCCTGGGCCATTGTGTCACACTCCTCCCTTGTGTTTTGTAAAGGAGCAGTATCATAGTCAGTATCTATGGCAGGGATGGTTTGGTATTGAACCAGAACCTGATTGGTAGTAATTTTTGCAATACTACTTATCTGTCATTTAGAAACTGGATGAGGCAGGGTGCCAGGAGGAAGAGGGTGCCAGTGGCCAGTACAGGGCCAAGGAGGGGGAAAAGCCAGGCTACCAGAGGGTTTGAGTTCCAAGGTGTAGAGGTACCTGGAGCATATCCAGCTCAGAGATCTCACCAGAGATCGCTGAGCATTTGTGTATTTTGTTTACCAACTGAGATTCAGGGACACTGAAACAGCACTCTTCCCCCAGTACAGGTCCCTCCCCGCTTAGCAGGCAGTAGGTCCAGCGCTCTCCTGTTCTGTAGCACAAGCTCTGGTAAGGTGATCTGTCACTGGACGGCTTGAGACTGTCCCTGGTGGAAGCCCTGGCCTGGTCAAGCTTATCCTGGAAGTCGCTGGCTAGAGGCTGTGTTGGAAGAGGGCTGCTCCAGCAGGTCCTGCAGTGCCCAGTGGGATGATGAGACCCAGTCTGACGGGTCTCAGAAGGATGAAGGCCTCCCTTTTCTTTTGGTCCCTCCCAGCTGTAGAGGTCTTCAGGCTCACAGAGATAAAAAACCGGCAGAGCAACAATTACAGTGGTGTGTAAACCCTGAAAGGGGGGTTTGATGCAGGAACTGGTAATATTGCACCAGACAAGAGGGGAGCTCACTGGCTTGGTGACAGTGATGTTGCGGGAACATGTAGGATAGGAGCTGAAGAGTAACCTAGAAGGCAAAGGGGGAAGGGTAGACTGAAGAGAAGAACGTTTTATAACTCTCCTGTGGGCAAGGGCCCACGAGGCTCATGAAGCGAGATGTTCCTGCGAACAGCTGCCAAGGGAGTCAGGGTGGGTTGTTAGGCCAGCTGTATACTTGATGTACTATAGCTAGGAGCGGTGGCACGGACCCCTTTTGAGTTTGATCCTAACATTGAAGAATGTTAACACAGGTAAAGACTGACTTGGAGGCGGGTAAACTGGCAGATGTGTAAGTCGACTACGATGCATTTGGCATGGCCATCAGGGTACAGCTTAACCGTAACCCCCATTCGCCACTGTTTTTCCCAGGGATCCCGGATGGGAAGCTGAAAATGAATATTAAGGTTAACCAGCATGGTGCCACCAGGACTGGTGAGTTCAATTCAGCATCTCAAATATGCAACCTTCAAATATGGAGGCAATCACCTGGGTTGTGGTGAGGATCGCAGAGGAAAGGACTGGGGAGAGTTGAAGGAGAACCTCAGTCCTGGTCCAGTGTCCATTAGGTGGGCAATCCTGGGTTCCTTTAATGTTGTGTCTGTTGTTGGTCTCCGTAGTGTCAAAAGGACCCTACTGCTTGAGGTTGCAGCCCTCCCAGTCCAGACAGCCATTCTGAGCTTGGAGCCAGGTGGAGGACTGGCTCTCCTGCTCTCTGCCTGACCTCACCTGGAGTTCCCTGCTAGCTCTCCCCTCCCTGAACCTGTAAGGTAATTAGGCAGTTTCCCTTCATGACAGAAGTGTGTTGTTCTTTGGAAGTCTATCTGGCGCTTTCTCAGACAATTAGGAATGGTGCTTCCTCAAGACCCAGCTATACCACTGCTAGGTATATACCCAAAGTTTGCTCAAGTACACAACAGGGATATTTGCTCAACCATGTTTATAGCAGATTTGTAATAGCCAGAACCTGGAAACAACCCAGATGTCCATCAGCGGAGGAGTGAATATAGAAATTGTGGTATTTTTACACAATGGAATACTACTCAGCAATCAAAAAGGAGGAAATCATGCAATTTGCAGGCAAATGGTGGGATCTAGAAAAGATCATTCTGAGTGAAAAATCCCAGAAGGAGAAAGACAAACACGGTATATACTTGCTTATATAGACCTACAAGATATGATAAACATAATGAAATCTATACACCTAAAAATGATAATCAAGAGAGCAGACACGGGCAGATGATTAATCCTCATTTAGAAAGACAGATGGGATGTGCATTGAACGTATGACAGGAGTCTACCGCAGAAGGCATCTGAAAGACTCTACCTAGCAGTGTTTCAAAGCAGACACTAAGACTCATAACCAAACCTTTGGCTGAGTACAGGGAATCATATGAAAAAAGGAGTTAGTATGATGGGGAAAGGATAGGAGCTCCACAAGGAGCAAATATATCTGGGCACAGGGTCTTTTATGAGACTGACATTCAACCAAGGACCATGTATGGATATAACCTAGAACCTCTGCTCGGATGTAGCCCATGGTAGCTCAGTAACCAATTGGTTTCCCATAGTAAGGGGAAGAAGGACTATTTCTAACAGGAACTCAATGGCTAGCTCTTTGACCTACCCACCCAAGGGAGGAGCAGTCCTGTTAGGCCACAGAGGAGGACTTTGCAGCCAGTCCTGAAGATACCTGATAAAACAGGGTCAGATGAAAGGGAAGGAGGTCCTCCCCTATCAGTGGACTTAGAAAGGGGCAGGGTGGAGATGAGGGAGGGAGGGAGGGTAGGATTGGGAGGGAATGAGGGAGTGGGATACAGAGTTAAAATGTAACTGATAAGAAAAGAATAAAAATTAAAAAAAAAAAAATAACCAAGCACAGACACCTATCCAGGGAGCCCCACCCACTCCCCAAGGAGTATATCACCTTTGTTCTCCCCAAATAAAGTTGATCTCACTGAAGCGGTTCCCAGGGGCTGTTCTATTGTACTTAGGGCCTCCCAAGGCTTTCACTTTACCCTCTCCTGCCTTTGTGGGCTGGTGGCCAACAGACCCCCCCCCCACCAAGAGAACCACACTCGAGCACAAACCAAACACTGAGGACACCCGTGAATAGAGAAAAAAGTTTATTTTGCAGGCAACACGTACTGGCAGCCAGGGATGCGGATCCAAACTCAGGAGTTGGAAATGCAACCCTGAAGAAAACAATTACAGCCTTTTTAAAGCAAAAAAAAAAAAAAAAAAAAAAAAAAGTAGAAAAGCATGTACAGGAAGGAGGCAGTTTTTCACTGGGTCTCCAGGACCCTAAAGACCACCAAGGAGCTGACTCCGATGGAAACACAATAGGGTCTTTATTACAAGCTCAGGCAGGAGGGTTTTTGTTGGGATTTGAGCAAGGACCAGGAAATTCCAGCTTAGCACTACTGACATGCAGCAAGGGCAAGCTTGCTACAATGTGATTGGCTAACTAACATAACATTGAGGGAGCGGTCTGTAGACTTCAGAAGGCTAGCTACTTCCCAGCTGTTTTCTGATGGGCTCCACTTAGGGTTGGTTTCTGCCTAGGGCAGCTTGGTTTTTCCAGTAAACGGTGACTTGCTTTGGGAAATAAAAGTTAGGCCTGCTCCTTTTCACTGTGACTCATGAAGTCAGCATGGCCTCATTGTCTTGAAAGACTCCCGCTAGAGCCTCTCTAGACGGGGAGACCCCGCTTCCCAAGGAACAGCGAAACCAGCCCTCGGATGCAAGCCACAAGAGGTTTATTTCGATACACGGGTACCCGGGCGACAAAACCCTTCGGAGGATTTGCACGCCTCTCGGTTGGGGTGACGGGTTTTTATAGGGCTCGGGAGCAAGAAGCACGGTTACAGAAGCGAGAAGCATAGGTTACAAGGATCTGATTGGGCGGTTTGAACAAAGCCATAGTTAGGTCACGTACCCGAAACAGGGAAGGCGGGAAGGCAGATGTGAGCTGAGTCACGTAGCCGGAACAGGGAAGGCGGGAAGGCAGATGTGAGCTGAGTCACGTAGCCGGTTCTTATCTTGGGTGCCCAGAGTGTTTTAGGCGCCCAACCGCAGATATCCTGCTGTTGGGCGACTCCCGCCTTGCCTCTGACCCTGCACTGCTCCAGTCTTGCAAAATAGTGTTGCCAGCATTATGCTAGGGCTTTATTCTTTCATTCTCACCATAGGAGCCATTGAAGTTGCCAAGTTTATTCTGATCGTACCTGGAAGAGCCACAGATCTTCACACTGGAGAATGTGAAGTTCTCCTTCGGTCTACATGCCCAAGACTCTTAGAATTATGAGGTTCTCTGAAAACATTCTGTTGGACCCCCAGGTGGGGGGGCCCTCCGCCCCTCGGGATAGACGCCGGACCCCAATGACCAATGAAGAAGCGTACTGGATGAAAAACAGCAAGAGGCTTTTATTCGCAGGGGGCTCAGCACACAGCTCCCGTGCAAGGGGCAGTGGAGAGTCCGGAGCAACAGAATCACGGAGTTTATAAAGGCAAAACCACAAAGCAGGAGGGGGTCTAGGGGTGAGGGACTTCCCTAAGGGGGCAATCGGTGACTGGTTGTATCCAGGTGCAGTGAGTGCAAAGCAAACAGGAGGGGGTCCAGGGATTGTTTGCACTCTTCAGTCCATGACTACAGAAGGGCATTTCTCAGAAACATTTTGTTTCAAATCCTGCATTTCTCAGTAACGTTTTGTATCAGATCCTGGTTTGGTAATGATTAAAGCTCACGACTTCAAGTACCCATGGTCAGGGCCAAGTTAACCTCACAATTTAACTTAAAATTCGCTTCATTTCTCTGCAAGGTATCTGAGCATAAGGAGGCATCTGCCTGGTAGCTTAAATCACACAGGTTGTCTGCTCATTCCAGCTACAGCTAACGAGCACACCTGGCCAGGACACCACGTGGATGCCACCACACACCTCACCCTCCTGGGCACACAAGATGCCAACCATGTGTTAGACAATTCTGAGCTGGCAAAGTTTAGGGCTACAGAGATGCCCAGCAGTGAAGGGCCCAGGCTGGCTGCTCTTCTAGGAGTTAGGTTCAATTCCCAATACCCACATGGCCGCTCACAAACTAACTTCAATTCCAGAGGGATTCGATGCCCTCTTCTGGCCTCCGCGGGCACTGCACACATGGTTCAGACATGCAGGCAAAAATATAAAACCAACCTTTCCAATAAGATCTTTTGTATAAATATTGTGGCAAGTCTCTGGCTAGGGCTGACTCAGAAAACTAAATGGAACTGATTTTTTTTCTTCCATTTTTTGAAACAGAGTTTCTCTGTAGCCTTGGCTGGCCTTGAACTCACAGATCTACCTGCCCCTAAACGCTAAGATTAAAGGTGGACACCACCACTGCCCGACTAATGGAACAGAATTCTACAGGCACAAAATTCTCATATTTCTCTATCTGCAATTGGGACTGCCTCACAATTCATCTATTCCCACTATAAAGGGGGCAAAGAAACCTGACACCTTGGTTCTGTACAGTGAAAGACCCCGGAGGGGTATCTTCCGTCAGGGAGACCCCCCTCCCAAGGATCAGCGAGACCAGTTATTCGGCTGCAAACAGCAAGAGGCTTTATTCAGTACACGGGTACCCGGGGCGACAAAGTCTCTCGGAGGACTTGCGCGCCCTCTGGGTGGAAAGCTGGGTTTTTATAGGGTTTTAGAGCAGAAGCGCGGGTACAGAAGCGAGAAGCATGGTTACAGGAATTGATTGGTACATTTAAATGAGACCACAATTTGAGTCAGAGTTTGGCAGAGACACCAGGATACCAAAAACTGGGTGGTCGAAATGGTCATGATGACCCCATAACTTGGGCCGCCATATGTTGTTTTCCTTAGGACTCCTATCTCAGCTGGAACAGTCCCACAGATATCCCATGAAGGTGATCAACACAAGTTGTTTTTAGCTCAACTGGGGCAGCCTGACCGCAGATATCCCAAGTGGGCGACACAGCTGGGTTTTTTAGTAATTTTCCAGTTTCCCACCTAGCCTACAGAGTTTCTCAAAACAGTGGTGTACCACAAAATGGCGTTAGCTATGTTCAACTTAGGGTGAGGCGGGGGGTCTTTCATACAGCTGCTTACCTTCTCTTCTAGAAGTTGTACCAGTTCATTTCCAGCACCACACCTACGGGAGAAACACCAGGGGTAATTAGAGCGTCAACCATTAGATAATAAAAACACTGACGTCCAGACTGTGTTTTGTGTAAATAGAATCATCAATGTACTACTCAGTTTACTGGATAAACCTACTCGGTAATGTTTTAACACAATTTTTAATGCAAAACCACATCTTTCTCTATTTCCCAACCCTCCCACTCATTTCATGTGTGCACACAGGGGCCATAGCACAGACAGGAAGGCCCAAGGATAACGCTAGAACGTTGGTTCTCCCCGCCAGGTCCCAGGAATCAAAGTCAAAGGTCAGCAGGCTTGGCATGCTAAGCCATCTCACTACACATGCCCCAACCCAGGCATCTAATTTAAAAGGAGGTGGGTGACCGCATTCAATTCCTGCCATTCTTGGCCTCAGGTAAATCCTTTAACCCATCACAGCAGCATTTCCAGTCAGGTTAGAGTTCTCATCCTTGGCCAAGAATTCTGTTCCCGGAATCATACCTGAGAAGTCCAACCTTCTCCTTTAAGACATACCTTGATTTCATTAGCACCCCGGGCATAGGACCATCTGCTTTAAAAAAAAAAAAAAAAAAAAAAAAAGTGTCAACAAGTTACAAGTACCAGACCATAGCTTTTTACAGAAAGAACCTGTGGCTAACAGCTGCATTGACAACACAGACTCCGCCTCTGAATAGCATTCATTCCTGTACAAACCTCTCATCTTACATTTCTGTCAGCTGGGAGTCCATTTTATTCCCTCTGTGCCATCTCTCTGAATGAATCCAACACGTGAGCACAGAACAGTAATGTTTAGAAACAAAATTACTAGCTGCATCATTTCTTTAGGGCACGTTGAACCACTTTCATGATTTCAAAACCAGAAGCAGCACCAAACTTGCTGAGGCTCAACAGAGAAGGGAAATGAGCCTCATCGCTGGACCTTCCTGTGCCCACAGTCCTTAGACAGTGGCTCATGCTGCCCCGCACTCCACTGGCTCAATAGAAACAACCCCTAAAGGAAACAAAACTGCCACTCACTGCACTTCCTTGAGGCACGCCAGACAGGGCAGCTGTATGGAAGAAGCTCCGACACTGTTCTCCCTCTAAAACGGGCTTCCCCAGGCGCACTGGCTCATGCCCACAGATCCCAGCACGAAGTTCGAATCTCAACGCTAAACAACTAAGTGGCACCCACCTTCCTTCAGTCCCGTCTAAACTTAGAGTTAAAGTGTTAAAGCAACAGTGAGCAGGCAGGACGCCTACGGCCGCCCGGTCTATGACTCTGCGGTGAGACGAGCCGTTTCTACGCCGCGGAGCACCGACGTCAGGGTCTAATGCCCTGCACGAGCGCGAACCCCGACACTCAGATTTCCCCCAGGAGCCCAGCCCTGAAGCCGGGTTTCTGTTAGGGGAAGGCGGCGGCGCACCCCGTGGGCGAAGTCACCTCCGTCCCTTGCGCTAACACCGAAGCCGTCTCGCTGCGCTCGGGTCTCCGACCTCACTCGCTTCCCCTCACCACACTCCCGGGCGAGCGGGCGCCCCGGCTGTGCCCAGGACCCCGGGCCTCCGCATTCCGCGCCTCCCCCGGGAGGGGGCTGCGCGCGGCCGGGCCCTGCCCCGCGCGGATGGGACGCGCACGGGACGGGAGCCGGCGCGCGGGGCTATTGGGGACCTCGGAGGCCACGCGGTGGGACCTTGCGGCCCGCGACACCAGGACCACTTACCCGTAGCGCGCCCCGGCGGAAAAGGAAGAGCGAGCGCCGGGCGGGACCACGTTCAAGCCCGGCGGGACAGCGGGCGTCCGGCCCAGCCAACCAGAGGGTCCCCGCGCCCCTCCCCGCCCGCCTCCGCCAGCTCCGGCCCGCGCGCGCCCCCTGGCGGCCTCAGCGCCTCCTAAGCTGCCCCCAGCCCGGGGCATCTGTCCTACTCAGTGTCCTGATGCGGAGAGCTCACCCCGCTGCAGGGTGGAGGAGGATCTCGGCCCCCCCGCTGCGTGGGAATCTCCACTGCTTTCTTCGCCTTCCTCCGTGCTCTCAGAGTCACCTAGTGAATTTGATACTACTCCGTACGTGACAGAATTTGCTCCTGGTTAGGAAACTGTGACATTGTGGAGAGTGAGTGGTCTTTGAAGCGGGCCTGATGCAAGGGTCCCTCCCGCCCCCCCTCGCTCCCCCGTCCCCGTGCCTAGAAACCCCACCACTGGCTTTTGCATTTCCCGCGCTGGCCAAGATCTGTAAACATTTTGCCCTCGGAGTACCTCTGTGCCTGAGGTCATCAGGCTGGGGCTTTTTGTGTTTTGTGTTGTTTCGAGAGAGCGGTTCTCCATGTAGCCCTGACTGTCCCGGAACTCGCTCATGGACCAGGTTGGGCTCGAACTCAGAGATTCACTCTGCCTCTCCAGTGCTGGGAATAGAGGCCTGGTGGGCCTTCTTAACTAAAAGCAGCTGTCCTTGTAACAAGGGAAAACAGAAATATGAACCGGCAATGTGTGGGGACACAGTGGAGAGATGCGGCTACATGCCCAGGAATGCCAAGGACTGTGACCACTGCCAGGAGCTAGCAACACACGGGAAGAATTCCTTTCACTGGGTTTCAGAGGTAGTTTGGTCCAGCCGCTACCTTGATTTGGCTTTCTGGCTGCCAGCGCTGAGCTGACATTTCTGATGGAAGCCACCAAGTGCTTTGCTAAGGGAGCCCAGGAAGCCAACAGGATGACTGATGGGAAGGGCTGACTCCTCTTAGCCGTTGAGACCAGCATCTCCTAAGGGCCCTGGCTCCCCTGCTTACTGCTGTTTACTGCTTTGTGCACTTGCAGTGACCTCGGTAACTGGTAACCGCTGAATTAATCAGGTGCTGGGGAACGGGACGGTGGGCATCTTAGTCGTGAATGTTCGAGCTCGGCGACTTCTTCGTTAGACATTTACAAGCTCCTGAGGCAAACCGATGTTCCCATCACCCAAAGCGCTTACATTTCGATCTGTAGCAGGAATTCTCTGGAAGGAGAGCGAAGGGGGGAGTTAGGAGCGGGAGGTGGGAAGACAAGCCCCCACACCTCCTTGTAGGGAGGCCTGCAGGCCAAAGAGACACTGCTGAGCCACCCCTGCGGTCCTCGGGCCTACTTTTGCAGACATCTTCTTTACCCACAGTTTGTCCCTGGAATTGTGAAACTTGAGGTGTTCTACTAAATGGCCTTGAGACCATTTGAGTTAGAAGGATTGAATTTGTGTTTTGTGCCAAGTACTGTGACTGGTGCTGGGGGGATGTGTTAGTATCTTCCCGTTTCTGTGTGTGATAAAAGCACCACGGCCAAGATAATGGATAGAAGAGTTTATGTGGGCTGATGGTTCCAAAGAGTGAGAGTCCGCGGCAGAGTGAAGGCATGGCAGCAGGGTTGGGAAGCTGAGGGCTCATGTCTTGAACTAGAAGCACAAAGCAGAGAGAGAATTAGAAACAACACGGTCTTTAAACTCTTAAAGCCCATCTCTAGCGCCACACTTCCTCCAAGGTCATTCCTCCTAGGCCTTTCCCTATGGTCCCCATTGGGGACCAAGCATTCCAATAGCGGAGACATTCCCCATTCAAACCAAGATCTTCCTGCTGAAGCAGAGCTGGGATGAGGGTTCTGGGAGAAGAGTTGCCTTCTCTAGTGAGGGCCAAGAATGCAGCCCAGAGCCTGGAGTAGATCTGAATAAAGGCAGATGACACTGTGTTCTGAATGCCTGTAACCCCAGCATTCGGGAGGCAGAGGTTGAAAATCAAGGTCAATCTGGTGGCATAGTGAGATCTTGCTCACACCACAACAACATCAAGGAATAATAGTCTCAATGTATATGCTAAGGCAGGGGTTCTCAACATTCCCAGTGCTGTGACCCCCAACCATAAATTATTCTGTTACTTCATAACTGTAATTTTGCTAGTTATGAATTGTACTGTAAACATCTGATGTGTAGAATATCTGATATCCTGCCTTCAAAGCAATTGAGACCTACAGTTTGAGAACCACTGTGCTAAAGTAACTAAATATTCATGTCCTAGGACCCAACAATCTTTTGTTTTTCAGCACCTTGATCTAGTAAAGCAGGTAACACCCTCATGTCTCAAATAACCTCTCTTGGTATTGGCTGGCTTGACCTTCACCTACCCAGTAAATTATGTGTACAGCAGGAAACCCAGGGCATAAGCAGTGTTTGGCATTGTATTAGAATCAGGAAGAGTCTATCCCCTGTTCCACTCTGCTATAGCTTATGCTCTGAGATCTAGCTTAGTCTTTTCCTTATCCCTTGCAGAGGAAGGAATGTCAGTAAGATCCTACGTTGGGGTAAATGTTGATGGGAAACTGAGTCAGTCCACAACCCTCCATTCTCTGCCCGCCCCACTCTCAGTAGGAACCCAGTAAAGGTTCTCTTTGATGGGGGAGGAGGAAGGAGGATAAAGAGCCCTTTGAAGGCCAAGGAATGAGCAGTCAATTAAATACATGTACCAGCTTCTTTTGATAGTACTAGTTGAAATCAGTATTCCTCACTAATCATGAACCTGCTCTTAACTAGATGTATTGCAGAATATTTGATCCCATTGTGAACCTCAAAACTGTGAACTATAAAACCCTGTTTCTTTGGTGTGATTGAGCCCTAACACACACTTTTAATCCAAGAATGTTCTTTATTTTAAACAAGTGATAATGGTATAGTTCACCCAGCCCTAGCACACAGCCTCAATCCAAGAGCTTTCTGTACACAGGATTTAATAAAGCTAACCCCAGATAAGAGGCAGAGCAAGAAACCAGCTGACAGGGATTAAAGAGTAGGAGGGCCCTTGAGTTGAGGGGTATTTAAAACAGCATGGAGAAGAAACAGCTTTTAGCTCAAGCTCTGGCTTTAGCTTTGACTTCAGCTCCTCAGCTCCCTAGCTTTTGGGGCTTTGAGCTAGGAAGCCTTTGGCCTTGGGTTTTTTGGCCTTTTCCTCCTGGGCTGTCAGTTGAACTTGTGAGCCTTTTGGGTTTGTTTTTTTGTTTTTGTTTTTGTTTTTTCATCTGGACTTGAGCCGAGAAGGAAGATCAGCTGGGTACTTTCTCTGCTTCTCTGAGCTAGAAGGTTTTCACCCCAGCATCTGGCTCCTGAGTCTTTATTGGTAAAATACAATGGCTGGAATTTTCATTTTTATAAAACAACATCAGTGTAAATATTTAGTCCTCTTTTAGGCTATAGCTGTTGACATCCTTCTTAAAGAAAGTATGCAATCAACTTGGAGGCGTGGAGGCTTCGCCTCCTTCCCCATCACTGCCCTGTTGGGTGGGATCGCCTCAGTTCTAAAGACAAAATCTGAGTAGTAATAAAGCAGTTCCCCTGCCTGAGTTGGTTCCTAATGTGAAATGGGAAGAAAGTGTATTATCATCTTCCAAGATCCCACCCATGTCTTGATCTGTCTCCAGGAGGATCTGAAACTCTCATGTCCTCAATGGACTAGCCGACACAGATGTGGGAATCTGCTTTCATAGATTAATGAGCTCGGTTGTGGGCTCTTGTGTCTGTGTCTGGTGCATATTTCAAGGTGTTACTGCAATGCAGTGAGAACAGAAAGCAATGACAGGCATTATTAACATGAGTGCCCCAGCTGGGTACATTTCTAGCTGGGGTTATTGGGAGATTCGACATGTACAGACCTCCAGTGAGATGGCTCAGTGAAGTGAGTACTTGCTGAGTCAATTCTCAGAACCCATGTAAAGGTGGAAGGAGAAAACAAGAACTCAGAGTTTTCTTCTGATCTGTGTACGTGCTTGTCTGCACACACACACACACACACACAAAGAAGAAGTGGCTGCAAGATGGAAAAGTTGAGAATTGTCTATCATGATTTTCTAGCTTTTGTGTTCCTATTAGGATCTTTATTGTATATGTTGGGTTTTTGTTGTTGTTAGCTTGTTTCCTTTTATTGCTTGTGATAAAACATCAGAGCCAAAAGCTTCTTAGGAGAAAGGGGGTTATTGGACTTACCTTGTCCTAATCACACTCTGTCACTGACAAGTCAGGGCAGGAGGAGGAGCAGGACCCTGGGGACAGAAACTAAAGCAGAGGCCATGGAGGAACACTACTTACTGGCTTGCTCTCTATAGCTCACTTAGTTTGCTTTTTTTATACAATACAGGGCCACATACTCAGGGTGACATTTCCCACAGAGGGCTGGGCCCTTTCACATCAACCATTTATCAAGAAAATGTCTCTCAAGTTTGCCTGCCGGCAATCCTCAATTTAAGTTCCCTCTTCCCTGATGACTCTAGTGGGATCGTTGACACAAAATTAACCAGCATATCATGGTTTCTAATTGGGTCCTCTGATGATATCTGACAATCAAATCAAAGATTAAACATGGACAGAAATAACATTCGGTTCTTCACTGGGTGTAAGTTAAATAAATTATTTAAAGCAATCCTGGGCTTTTGTAAGAAGGAAGCTGTATGCTAATTTTGAATTATCAAGAAATACATTTCTTTTATTCTGACATGCTTCAAGACTCACTAGATGCTCCAAATAGCAGCGCCCTATGTGTCTTTCACTCAGTGAAACGATCACACATAACCATAACATCGTCACGATCAGAAAACTGACACTTACACAGTGCTGTTAACTCAGAGACTTCATTTGCATTCCCCAAAAGGCTTTTAGGTAAAAAGAGACAAGATTATACATATATATACATGTTATGTATGTGTCTTACTCGTTGGTTTGAAAAGCAAATGGGGGTGGGGGTGGGAGTGGGGGGTGCACACTTGTACTCTCAGCACTCAGGGAGGC